TGGCACAGAACAGTACTTAGATGATAAGAAAGTCAACCTACTTTTCTGCCAAACAGGGTTCACACTGTGGATACAATTCTTTGCCCTACCCCTGGTCTTTGCTTGATCCCAGCCCTAATCATAACTTTTTCTGTGGTCACCTTAAGATAATAAAGGCTTTGAAATCTTTTTAGAGGGGGAACCATTGAATGCCTTCAGTGAGACAATATGCAATTTTCATTCTTCAGACTTTTTCACAGATGTCCTTCTGACATAGGGGAAGGCTGGCAAGATGTGAAGAAAGAAAAAATAGGAAAGAATATCTCCTGTGATAGATAAACCAGTGTAGTATTTGTTAGGGGAGTGTTTGTGGATTAATGGATTAAATGCATGCTACTGTAAGAACTAAAGGTTCATCATTTATTTGGTTTTGCACCTAATGGTTGCTGAAGAACTTAACTAAGAATTGTCCATATATGAAGAGTACAGAGAGACTTTTCATAAGAGGAAGAGCAGAAAGAGGAGGAGAATTCTCAGATTCCTCTGTATGGTAATTCTCCAGGACTGGTCCCCCCCCCCCCCCCCCCCCCCCCCCCCCCCCCCCCCCGCAACTACCACCCCACAAAGGCTGTGCAGTGCAGCTGCTCAAGCCTTTAGAGGGAAAGCTGAGCCCCGCAATACATAGACTATCATGGTCATTTCACCTTGGTTTCTAAAGAAACTCCCCCATTGGGCCTCCTAATAGGTAGTGACAGAATGCTGAAGGATTCTAGAGGACAAGATACTTCTCCATGTAGGCATCACTTAGTAGAATTAAAGTGGCCCTTTCATCTGGCTTCTCTGATCCAGGCCTGAAAATTGTCTCTGGCCACTCGTGAAGATGCTAATTACCCTACTGCTGAAAAGAATGCTGACACCCCACTGACAGGCTAGCTTCATGGCAGACATCTTTGTCTAAATGATTTGTCCTTATATGAAGAAGACCACCACTTTCCAGCTAAAGATTTTCCCAACAATAATCAAGCTTTGTCTTCTCCCTTTTAGGCTCAGTATCGGCTTAGGGTGAATAAATATAAGTGGGACGGGATTAATTATCCCTCTTTTGCTATCACCTCCTCCTTCAGAGACTCAATGAAAATAGGTGGTCTCTACTCAAAGTGTAGCCCTGAGCTACAAAACAAGTATTTTAAAACACTTTCCAAATAATTGCTTTGAAGAAAATAGTCATTTATTGTCAAAGCATCCAACATACCTGGATAATCTATAAAGTTTAATAAATCTTTCCAGGGATAAAAGAAACACATAACTATTCAGACTCCATTTCACTGGCACAAAATTACACTTTGTATTAAAAGGAAATACATATTTACATAATGATGACATTCTTCATTGAAGTCCATAATCATTTCATGATACATGCACTTCCCCCTGGAAACTTAAATTGAATGGTGACCCCTTTTTATTTATTTTATTTTTTGTAAGAACACAAACTGTCATCAAGAAATGCAGAAAGCATCTCACCTTCCTCCTTTACTTTATATCTAAAATAAATTTTGCCCTTACATATAATTATTACATCTAAACCGTAAGTGCTTAATAATTTAAGTAGAAACGTATGACAAATGCATCAATATGTTGCAATATATGACATTTTTAAAAATGTACCTTTGTTTTTGGAAAGTGAAAATGCGTGCATTCAAAAGAAAACCCCTCGAACAACCCACCCAATCAAAAATCCACCATCCTGTCTTGTATGCGTGCGTGCGTGTGTGTGTCTGCGTGTATAATGCAGGTCTCGGGTAAACAGGTCAATGAGAAGGTTGGGGTGGCACGTGTATGTGTGTGTGTGTGTCTGTCTTTGGGTGCAGTGTTTCAGGTCACAAGGAGGTGGTGGATGTCCTCGCGTTTTTCCTGTAGGTGGCTTGACTGTGACTGTGCGCGCGTGGAAAGCTAGGGTCCTTTCTGTGTCAATTATGCGAGGTCATGTGCCTGGAGAGGTGGTGGCGCTCCCTGAAGGACTCATTGCAAATGGGGCACTTGAGTTTCTCCTCCCGCCGCCGCTTCACCAAGGGCTCCATCGCGTACTCCTTTTTGTGATGCGACCGCATGTGGTACACCAGGTCGGAGGTCATGCGGAAGGAGGCATTGCACTTGGCACACCAGTTCTGCGCGGGCAGACACAGCGAGGTGAAGGAAGGCGGCAGCAGCGTGAGCGCCGAGGGCAGCTGCAACTGCAGGGGCCCCGCGGCCGCCGCGGCCGCCGCCGCGGCGGCAGCGGAGCTCTTGGGCCAGAAGGCGGTGGCGTAGAGGAAGGGGTTCTGTTTGGGCAGGCCGCCGCCGCCACCGCTCGGCAGGGCCCCGCAACCTCCGTTCAGGTCCGCGGCCCCCTGGAGCTTCACGGCCAGAGGGTCGGAGGCGGCGGGGTAGAGTCTGGTGGGGCCCACGCCGTCGCCGGGGTGGCACGGCTCGAGCGCGCTCAGCTTCTGGCCCAGCACCAGCGGGGACAGCTGGGAGAAGGAGCGCGCCGGCTGCGAGAAGGCGCTCTTGCGCTCGTCCGACGCGGCGCCCTGGCCGCCGCCCGCTCCGCCGGAGGC